CGAATTAAAGTGTATACGGTCGTCCCGAAAGGTTCCGACATCGAGGGCGTTTTTTTGCAATATGCTTACGGTGCATGTGGTCCCAATTGTAAACACAAATTTCAAAAGGGGAAAAAAAAAAACAAAGGACGGGTACACACTTTTCCTGATTTTTGATGTCATGAATTACATTCATTTTAAGGATTTGTGAACCGTTTCACAGCCATGCAAGATGGCCACCTCGGCTTGTGCACCGTTTCATAGCCATCCAAGATTGCCGCCACGGAATTTGAGCTTTATATAAAGAGTAAAGCTATACGCACTCCGGAGTGCACTTCGGACGGAAATGGCCTATACGCACTCCGCTAAACTCGTATAAAATGAATGGTCAAATCGAGTTTCCTAAGTGATGGCATAGCATAGGGGTTAGGGTGTCCGCTTTGTGCGCAAGTGGACGCGGGTTTGATCCGTGGTGGACTTGCTTTTTTTTTTTCTTCTTTTTTTTCTCGAACATTTTGTTTTGTCGAGGCATTTGGCGATATTTATGAGAGCATATAGCTTTACTCTTATATAAATGCTGCCCTTGTTGATGAAATTCCCTTGGCAGTGGCAGTCAGACGTCATCTGATAAACCATCAGATGACGTCTGATGGTCCATCACGTTCCACCAAGGCTGCTGACTGGCAGTCAGTGCCCCAAATTACGTACCTTGATGGAATTTTCAATAGGGTAGCTTACTTATGGATGCTCTGAACCGGCAGTGCTAAGCATCTCCTGACATCAAGACACTGCAAGATTTCAGGAGGACATTGCCGCGCAGAACGGCCGAAATAGGAAAAGCCATAAAGCAACAAGAGTGAAAAACAGCCCCTTTTCACCAAGATGTACCCGACAACTCGAGGTCCTGCTCCCTACCTGCGTGGGCACACCGTTACACCGTCGCACGCTTCGCCGGGCTCGACGGTGCCGCGCTGAGCAGAGAAGAGGCACAAGAAACAACGCCAGGTTGCGACGTAAAAGCTCAATTTCAAAATGTATTTTTTTTCGTATTTAGAACAAAATTATTTTAATTAAACTTTCAAGAACAAAAAGCAATAAACTCTTTTGTAAGAGTCACCGTGTTTTGCATTTTTCTTTCGTCCACCTCAAGGCAGAATTGACGGCTCTTTAAACGGCAAAACAAAATTTTGCACAAATTAAGTTGTTTTTCTGCAAGATATTTAGTTGTACAGACCGGAGGTGGTCGAGCGCAACGTCTGGGACATTTCAAGTGGAATGACCCTGCTTTCATTGGGAGTTACGGCTACAGATCAGTGGAATACCAAGATTTTAAAGCAAAAACGTTAAGTAACTTTTACAGTAAATGAGCAGTGAGCAGCTAAGAAAACCAGGTATCACTTGAATTTATATTTTCAAATTACAAGCCAGTCCGTCAGTAAAGAACATATAACACTAAGTAATTTTGGTGGATCACTAGTTTTCATTTATCAGGCAGAAGTAAACTGAAGAGAAATACGAACCGTGTTTTTCTTGCTGCGATAATAAATAATAAACTACCTATTACCGAACATTCAATCTACGTCGGAGTGTACCAAAAGCTAGCTGTAGAAAAAAGATTTCATAACTGAGCGTATAAGCTTCAAAAATGCATCAGCGTGAATAGGTGTGCTTCAAGGAGCGGACAATTTTGGCATAAAAAATTTCCGGACATTGCTTATAACTCATATAATGCACATTTCTAAATCTTACCAACTCATCCGTATCTCTGGAGCTACGTTAGAGTGGAGACAGCTGACTAGGCATTTGAAGCGGCATAGGTGTGCAGTGTTTCAAGGTTGTAACCTGCGTTGTGTTCAACACAGAGACACATGGCCACTTAATGACACCCTTCAATCATTTCAGACACTTTTTCGTTCAGTCTGACGACCGCAGAGCTGATAAAAAATTAGTACTTAAAATGTTGTGCTGTTGTAAAAACATCACTAGATAGATAGGGCCTCCAGCAAGTAGCCGATGCCCCATTTTGCCAGCACTACTGCTCAGGAAAACTATGCCAGCGGCCCACAGCTGCATCCGCTTCGAAAGCCTCACGAAGGGCGTGCCGCTTTTGCCACTAGATCCCTTCCAGAACACTGTAGACAGGGCCCGCCGCCGTTACCGTCATCCCGAAATATCCTGCATCCGTCAAGAGAGGACGCAAATTTCTCGTGTCTGTACTTTTTTTTTGTTGTTGAATTGTCTGCTTCGTTGAGAGTTTGCCGCCAGTTTTACGCTTGACGATTTCACTAGGATGGACAATGGCGAATATATTGAGGAGGATCTGCTGCTCACAATACTTCTGGTGTGCACAGTGAAGTACAACCGATGGCAGCAGTGTAGAAGACCTTGGTGGGTGAGGCCTTTCCTCCTCGACCGTGAGGAGCACGGCCAAGATTTTCGTTTGGCGATCGATTTGCGCACTCACGACGAGGAGTATTTTCGGGAGTGAGTATTCCGCACGTTCAACGAAAATTTGCTCACAACCAGGTAATGTTGTTGTAGTCTCTTTTCTACAGCTAGATCAGGATGCCTCCGAGCACTATCGATACCTTGATCGAGCTGGTGCGCGAGAATGCCAGAAAAATGGACACTAACTGGAGGAAAGCCATCCGTCCCAAACAGCGGCCTATTGTGACACTTGGGTGAGACCAGAAAAGTTATTCTGCTTAAATAACGAAATTATGTGCTTTAGGTTAAAATTAGTTAAAAGAATGCACTTCAAAAACGAGTCAATTTCTCTGGGAACACGTCATCAACTGCTGCGGGTGTCAATACGTGTACAACGTAATGATGAGAAAACTAATTAAAACCAAAACTAAATATTGTGTTAAGTATGAGTCTTTGCACATTCCAATCGGTGATTCGTAGCCTGTCCTCTTTATAATTATTACTCTAATAACTTCAATTTGTGACCGACCAATCAAAAGGAAGACTCAAGGCCTTTGTGCAACAACAAGTTCTCTAACAACAGCACTCACGAACTGGTGTGCCATGAGGACAATCAAACAAGAGTTCGCCCGAACTACACATATTTCTCCACTATCTCTGCAACAGGGGATCGCCGCTGAGCTTCTCCCGTCGCCCTTGACCGAGATCACCACTTTGCTCATCCTACTTGGTGTCATTCCTGGGTATGCAGATGAAATATCTACAATTCTCAGGATCAATCAAGATCGGCCTGTAATCTGTCTGGCTCACAGTGATGGCGCTTTTATCAAATGCTATTCTTGATATAACTCCTGAACGAGTGAGAGACTATATTCCCCCATCTAACCAAGGACTCCAGCAATACCTCTACGTTTTTTCAGAGAACATGGCATTTCTTAGCAAGGGAATCCATAAGAACTTGGACTGGTATATCAAGATTAATTATTTCCCGCTGGGTCCGATTTTTTATGCCTACAGTACGTCATGCACCCTTCGTCAGCACTCCATCAACAACAACAACTCTAATAACTTTAATCATGATATTTAAACCCTGAGACTGGGCTAGGAAATGAAGGTCAAGTTTCCTTCACAGTCTCAAAGTTTCAAGTTTTCTGTATGTCTGTCAATAGATCTCACAGGAAGACCTCCCAGGGTCTTAATTATCGGCAGAGCAGAGCCAGGAAAATAGTGGAGAACTCCTTAAAAATACTGGTGCAGAGGTGGAGGATACTACGTCGGCCATTCAGTGGAAAAGAAGAAACCACGGACAGAATTCTGGCCGTATGTATGGTGTTCCATAGCTTCGTGATGAAGCATTCTGAAGTGTCTGAACGCAGGTATGTGCCCCCTGGATTTGTGGATGGGGAAGGCCAAGAAGGCGAGCTTGTTAAGGAACAGTGGAGGTCAGAACAAGAAGCGTTTGGTCTCCTTGAGGTTCCACCTCAGGGCACGAGATTCACTGAGTATGTACACAGTATGTTGGTATGCAAGCTTGCCTCTCATTCCTGTTTTTTTTTTGTGAAATTCCAGCCAAGCTTAAAGCATTCGGGACTACTTATCAGCATGCTTTGTGATAGATGGCAAAGTGCCATGATAGGACGAGTACCTTGATAAACACTGAGCTGACACGGGTATGTTCCCTCACATTTCTTCATTATCAGAAAAATTAATTGTTCCATATACAATGATGTCTCGTTAATATCCTTAATATAATAAATAATAAAATTATTATTAAGAATATTTAATAATAACAGCGGGGTATCCTTAATATGGATACCCCGCTATACGTATAGACAATATTTTCAAGGACGAACTGTGTCAAGACATGAATTTCTCTCTCGTAATTATGAACAACTCACATAATGGATGCTTCTTTGAGGGAATGCAGGAGTCAATAATAACAAGACATCACTGTATTGAATGTAAACTTTGGCCATGAAAAAAGTTTTAACAATGACACTTACATTTTTATATTACAGCAAAAAGCAGTAAGAATTTAGGAAGATGTGAAACTCTATTGAAGATTCTTTTACACATTGAACCTACTAAAACAATATTAACAAATTAACTTTTGCAAGGCATGACTTGAAAATTAATTTGTAAAAACGGATCACACATATATATCACCCCATGGTTATGATTGGATGAATGCTACTCCCGATCGCAAAAATTGTGCTCGCAAAATATTCTCGAAAATCACACTTTGCACAATTGCGAAATATCAAGCTTGCAAAAATAAACTTTTTTACAACACCCACAGATAATCTTTCCCATGATTCACAACATTAGATGTCCCAATAACACATGGAGACCAATGATTTGCAGTGGGAAATGGTAAGTTATTTGCTAAAAAAAAGTGAATTCAGCTGGTAAGAATGTCTCAAAATCACTTTATGCGCATAATATTGTAGGACATGAGACAACGTTCCTTAGGGTGTGCACAGATTTCAGAGTAATATTTATGTATGTGGCTTATTAGACTAACATTTAAAATTTTCAATCCAGTGGTACATTAAAGTATGCTATGGCAATTAAAAAAATGGCTGAGCAGAAAGTCGGCCATATTCCCCAACCTGACGACTCACTTTGGTGTTAGAGAAACATAAGTATTTGAGTGGTTTCCAAAAAAAAAAAAAAGAAGGCTCATTGATCACATTAAGAGTTTGGTAGACCTTTGTTAATTCGACTTCAATGGGACTGCGAAATTAGCTTGAACAATCCGAAGGTTAAAACAAACGCGGTAGAGGACATGTACGTGTGCCCCAAAACTTTTCAACACAATCAAATTGGGTGAGAAGTTGCATTTACTTTGCTCAAACTGCTGAAAGTGTATTGTACAATACACTAAAAACTATGCGATAACTATTACCCAGAATATGGAACTTCATAGTGCATAATAATAAATGTTCTGCAGTGAGAATTGGTACTGAAAAAACATGTATTTTTGGTATTTTTCTGAAATTCAATAGCGAAGTATTATAGTTATTTTTTTATTCATTTTGTCTCGCTATTTATGGTGCATGTGGAAGGTATTGCACTTGGAAAAATTGTCCAGTCCTGGTTATCACCTGAGCGCAAATGCAAGCACGCTCGTTCAGTGTCATAAGGCGTCTGTATATGGGTAAACCATTTTGAGACAAAGCAAGTGCTCCTGCTCTTGGTGTGAAGCCTATTTGTTAGTGCTTCTATGCTCGTACCTTGCCTTGCATGAGCACAGAAGATTGCTTTTGAAATTAATGTGTACTTATATCTTCGAGTCAATTGCTCATGTTCTTCTAACAAGTTCTTTCAGTGCTTAAGGGGTTCTCAAAATTAACAAGCCAAGTTTAGGCTGACGTCTGGTATCTCTGATGGCTCTTTATTTCAGAAGTACATGCAAACAATTGGGGGTGATACCCACAGAGAGAACACTGGCCAGATTCTCTGCAAGATGCTGTGCCAGGAGGTGGGGGTGGCTTTTACGTGGTATGGCACAAGAGGGCAGCCTCCACACTACAGTTCTGCCATGTGGTATGTATCTGGTATGTATGTGGTATGTATGACATACCACATGGTATGTCATGTGGTATGTATCGGAGCGAGAAATTTTTGATGACACTCCACAATATATGTTTTTGTTAAAGCGGCCTTACGGCAGAACTATTTAGAAAACATTATATTACCTGTGACAGAAAACCTCCATAGGCTGCCTACATAGAACCATAAAAACTGCTCAGGTGCAGTTTTTATGGTTTTAGCTACACATCATTTTTTTTTAAAGTTTTCACAATCGGAAAGTTCTTCTTCAAAGTAGGAAAATGCGAGTTATCTAATTGGCGTGGTTTTTGTGCGCTCTCTTTATAATTGTGATTAAACATTTGTACTCGTACATCGTAGACATTAGTTTTCAGTGACAAACGAAGTAGAGAAGGTAAGAAAGCAAGAGACAAATAGGTTCAGAGAATATATAGCTTCGAAGAAATCCTAATGACATAGCTCACATTTTATATTTTGTGCCATGGCTCCCTAATGTGCTGAGTAAATAAAAGAATTGTATAAAAATCAGTTATCCGTTTGCCTCGCATATAACACAAGCATCCATCGGACCTTGTGAACAGATATGCATACAGATTTGGGAAAGTGCTTTTTGTGGCGGCCTTTCCAATCCTTGTCTACTTTGCAGCTTGCCTTACTGAAACCAAACCAAGCGAAGCGAAGACAGTTACCCTAAAGGACGCCAAAAATACTACACGGTCATGGTTGCGCCACGCCAAGGAGAGGATTGATAAAGGATGCATTCTGTAATACCCTGTTCACACGGGTCACCTAAAGGACCTATAACTTAGGTCCCTTTGCTAAAGGTACCTGGGTAAATGACGTTCGGAATCACACGGTAAATGAACGAAAATAAACAGTCTTTACGGTCTATGTTTACTGCATTGGGGATAGCCCGGGTTAACTGCATTTCCGTGTCTAAACAGTCATGAGGCACATTTATAGATTATTAATGTGAAACATTGCGTTAAAATTCTAAGTAATAATTGTAATGTTTGTTTTATTGCAATGTTCACCTAAAAAGTAGTTTTTCGTTAGAACATCCAGCTGGTCCTTAGGCTGAACTGGCCACAGTGGCCCAGCGGGTTTGTTTTGGAGACGGTTCCGAGCCAATGTTCCGAGCACTGTGAATCCGAGCACGTGGTACCGAAGTTTTGTGACCGTTTCTTTCTGCTCCTCGGATTTTCTCTCTTCCGCATTTATCGCTTCGACTGCTTCGGTCCCGGCAGAACCGTCACAGACCCACCACCCTCCAAGTGACGGGCCGCAACTACAATCAGCGTCTCCCGATGGACGACGACGAGTGTCTTGGCATTATGTGGTCGCTGCAGCAACAACGGACACAGTTCCTCCTGCTCGAGGAGCGTATACAGGCTGCGGAAACGGAAGCGGATGAGCTCGAGGAGAAGCTCATGGCCACAAACTTCACGGTCGCCGCTCTTCTTGCAGAGAAGTGGACTACGATCCCACGCGAGCGGGTAGTCTACGTTCGGTCGGGGAGGTGGTTTGAGGAGACGCTGCCTAGAATGAGCGATCAGCATTTCCTCGACCATCTTCCGGTATCTTGTGGACATTTGCCGGCCGTCAATGCTTCGGCAAGACACCACCATGAAGACGGCAATAACGGTGGAGAAGAGGGTGGCCATCAGCCTGTACAGGCTCTGCTCCACCGCGGAGGAACGAACAACCGGGCACCTCTTTGCCGTTGGCCAGTCGGTCGTCAATGAGACGTACCGAGAATTTTGCGACGTTGTCATTGACGAGTTTGAGGCGCGTACAATAACAATGATCCGAAACGAAAATCTCGACAACCACATGCGCGAGTTCCAGGCAGTGCTGGGATTTCCCAATGCCATATCGGGGCTTTCGACGGCTGCCACTTGCCTGTGTTGCCACCAAGGACTTGGCTGTTGACTACCACAACTATAAAGGATGGTAAGCAGACACTGATACCGTAATATCCCGAGTCATCGCCCATCCCCGAGCCATCGCCCACCCCATTTTTTGGGCCAATATCGATTTCCGAAAAAACACAGAGTCATCGCCCACCCTTTCAAATACCCCAGCGCGGACTCTGCGATCCGCGACCACTCATCCTACCCGAATGACGCGGCCGCGGACCTTACAGTTGGAGGACGTCCGTGACAAAGTAAAACGAAGGAGGGAAAGACACTTCTTTTTGTTTATGCATTTCCTCCGTGAGCGACCCCAAAGTGGTCGTGTATCCGTGCGAAAAGAAAACGATGGAGATAACAAAATAAGAGTTTGTTAAAGTAACCGCAGAGTGTTAGGTCAAAGTCTGTCTCTGCCGAAGTAAGGTCACCGCGAACCCGCTCCTTCTTCCCGCCCGTCGCGACCGCGGTTGTGCAATATTTTAGGCAAAGCCAACGCGTAAATTAAGCTTTGCTGGAACGCCCTACAGACGTTTGCAGAGCGTCCCAACCGTGCATTGATAGCCCGCCGTGCACGGACGCACGTATGTACGCACCAAACAAGAAAGTTGCGCAAGAGCTCGCAACTGACAAGGCGCGCGACTTGGCCCGACGCCAAAGTATTTGCCAATGCGACCGCCGGCTTTCCCGCTTTCCCAGCATTGCTCTTGGTCGCTTCTTTGGTCCGCTCGCTCGCTCGCTCGTTGCGCCTGGCCGGTTTTTCTATTAGCTTGTAGACTTTTTTTTTTTTTTTTTTACTTACTAGGAGAACATAGTGGTGACATTCTTTCACGGAACAAACGTTCACGCTATATGCAGATCGACGGTGTTTCTAGCGCGTATGCAAGCAACGGACTTCGCTATAGTAAAATATTCTTTCGTGAGTATTTTTTTCTATAAAACAATGAAACTAAATCGAGTTTGGAGTTTGATGTATCTCTTGTGCATCAGCGCTAGATACGCAGAGAAAAATAGGCGGTTTTTTCCGCTTTTTTTCAAGTGTTTGTGCTCACCCACCGAGACATGGCCCACCCCACTTTTTTTGATGAATTTCAGGCGGTAGGGGGGTGGGCGATGACTCGGGATATTACGGTACTCGTTTCCTGCAGACATCAAAATTTTCATTCACAATTGTTTTCACAATATCACATTTTGTGCAGTTTGGGTTTTGGTTTTGTTTTGCGAATACAAAGCATACTTCAATGAACTCGTGGCCAGCAATCGCCATCGCCATTTTCATATAAGGGAGGTGAAGTAGGAATGTAGGGGTAGAAGGAAGCGATTGTAGCGGTAGTGTAGGGCCATGTGTCGGGACATGTGCAGTTCAAATTTTTGGGCGGGCGCTTTGTCTCTCTCGGTCGGTCAATTTGAGGTTATATAGACACTGTTCCTTCTCAGTTGGATTTAGAGATATTGGGGAGGACAGGAGCGCGAATGGCAAAAAAATCGGACAAGGCCAAACCGGATGTGCCCAACATGGCATGCGGTAATTGTGAACGATGGTGCCTCCTCATGGAAACCCTCTTCAGGAGCGTGGAGGAAGCAGCAGACAAAGAGTACCAATGCCGGATCTGCGTGAATGCTGATGAGATGAAGGAGATGTCGGAGACGACGAGGGGGGAACTTAGGAAGGAGCGGGAGGCTCAAGAGAGAATGGAGGTGGAGATGAAGGAGGCTAGGGAGGGGCTCAGGGACGAGAAGGGCGAAAACAAAGGGGTAAACGGGGGAGAACTTAGCGGGCAGAGGAAGGAAACACACGTACAGTGTGGTGACTGCAAAAAGTCAGTGGACATAGATGACACGAGGTTTGATAGCGTAGAGGAGGCAGGGATGACAGAGTTCATGTGTAGAATGTGCGTCCTAAACGCACAACAGGACAGGCTGGAAGCAGAGAACAAAGAGCCGATGGCAAGGATTGTGATGCTAGAGGCAGAACTGGAGAGGGAAAGACGTGAAAGACACACAGTGGACGACAAGCTGGCGAAGGCAAACGAGAAGTTGGCAGATCTGGAGGTGGTCCTTTTACCATCGGACATCACAGCGAACGACAAGGTCGTAGATAGGGATGGGGGGAGGACGTACAAAGAAGCACTGTAGCCGGGAGGAGAACAGACAGGAAAAGTCAAAGGGCAAAGCCCCTGCTCTAATGGAGAGTAGCCAGGACATGGAGGGCAACGTGATCATAGCAGGGGACTCCAACATGGAAAGGTGCAGGAGGGCAATAGCTGAGAGGGTGAAGGGGGATGCCAGGGTCCAGATTGGGGTGTTGGTTGGACAGACAATGAGGGCGGTAATTGAGGGAGTGAAAGATAAACTATGGGAGACAAAAGAAGGCCAAAACCTCGTGATGATAGCGGGGGGACTGAACAATGTATTACGAGGGAACGGGGGAGGGGTGGGGAAGCAGTTGTGCAGGGGGGTGAGGGACTTGAGGGCGACATCAGACAATGTACAGATCCATGTCTGCACAGTGCCAGAGGTGAGGGGGCGGGGCGTCCAGATTGAGAGAGCCGTGATAGCCGCAAACCGGTACATCTGGAGACTAGGAAGGGAGATGGGTTTCGGGGTGATGGACATGAATGGGGAGGTGCGCAATAACAGAGAGAAGGCTTTTGAAGGGAGAGGTATCCATTTCAGCCCCTACATGGGGAGGGCCGTCGGGTGGCAGATGGCAGGGAGGGCAGTGGCTTTTTTAGGAGGCCACAAAGCTCTAAGGGCCAGGAATCCTGCCAGGAGCGAGGCGAAAGGCCCGTAGGAGAGCGGAGATGGGGCGGGCACGTCAGAGGGACACCGGAAGGCAAAGGGTAGAGGAAAGCAGAGATGTGGGTTTGGGGGAGGTGCCCAGGGAGGGTGGCAGGAAGCCACACAGAAACAGGAGAAACAAGCTACTTAACATAGCTTCCATAAATATGCAGGGGGGCAGCAACAGAATAAAGTGGGAGGAGATCAAGGAGCAATTAGAAAGTGAAAACTTCGCAGTATATGGATTAGCAGAAACACATCTGAGGGATTTGGAAGAACCACCATACATACCGAGATATCACTGGATGGGATGCAACCGGGCCAATGGGGAACGCAAGGGAGGCGGATTAGGTGTTTTAGTGAAGGGTCAGGAATGGGAAAGGGAGCGAGAGGACTGCAGGGAACACATGTGGATCAAAAGCAATATTGGAGGTTTAGACACAATCCTGGGTTTTGTGTATCTAAAAACGGAGTGATGGAGGAAAACGCAGAACACTAAACATGTATATTAGGAGACGTTAGGGAAATCGGCACTAACAAGGAAATAATTATCTTGGGAAACATGAATGAACATCTGGAAAACCTTGATGGACATACGGATAGAACGGGGAGAATGTTAAAGGAGTTCTGCGAAGCTCTTGATCTGGTACTGGTTAACGCCCAGGTAAAATGTGATGGAAAAATAACATGGGAGAAAAAGAACTCGTACTCGACTATCGACTACTCTTTAATGTCGCGGAAGATATACAACAGACCAGGAGGTATGGAAACAGATGAGGAAAGCACGAAAAATCTGGGGAGCGACCATAAGAGAATCAAGATCAGATTTGGCACAGTAAAACCAGAAACGCAAAATGAAGAACAAGAGGGTAGAAATAACTTAAATGATAAACAATTACAAGAGGTATCTAAGCGGATCGAGAACATAGTATCCAAGCAACCGGAAAGAGAATGGACATATAAAGACTTAGCTACTGCTTTCAAAAAAGGATTAGAGAAATATTGAACCAGACAAGGAGGAAGAAAACAAAAACGCAAGCCCAAAAGCTGGTGGGATAAAGGGGTTAAGGCAGCAATATCGAGACGCCAAGCAGCATCTAGAGAACACAGATGGGCAAATAATAAGGGGGCCACACCAGCCGAAGCGACATCCAAATAGGAGGACTTT